GGCGGGGGGAGGGGGTGTTTCTCGGGGGTGCGGTGTCGTGATCGCTTCATTTGTGTGGCAGAGGTGGGATGGGAGGCAGTGAGGCTGGTGGTCAGGGGCGTGGGAGGGAGGGGCGCACAAGAATGGGACGCGTTCGTATTGTGCATGTGTGTGTTTGCGTGTGAGGGTGTGTGCAGGCGCGCAGGCGCTCAGGTATGCATGGATCTTCGCTGGTTGGAGGGGTGTGTGCGTGCACACGCGCGTGCTTGGCTTTGCAGCAGCACCCAGATGGACGTACGCCTCCCAACGCATGCTTGCTTGCAAAAGGCGCGGCGCCAGTCGCACCGGCCTTGGGTCCGGCAAGCAGGCAGCGCCTTGAACCGTCGAACCACCAGATTTTGACACCCCCTGCCCACCCCCCACTGTGCCCCCCCTGGTGCTGCCGGAAACTCTCTCTGCCCTGCAAACCAGGCGGCCCCTCGGTGGCGTGCAGCACAGCCACCGCCGTGCTCTGGGACGCCGCCTGGGCCGGCAAGGAGGACCCCTCGGGCCGCGCGGTGGCCGGCGTGCACGACAGCGCGTATGGCGGCGACGCGGCGGCCGGCGCCACCGCCTGAAGCAGCCACTGAGCCGCGCTTTGCAGAGGCACGGCGGTCATCACTGCCCTCAAATCCACACAAACTGGGGTGTCGTCGCGACATGCGGCTCGATCGTACGTGCATTGGAGCGCGACCGGGCGCCCCACCGCGTGGCTGCGTGTTGGCGCGGGCAACGGGCGGCGCCCGCACCGTGTGTTGTTGTTCGTCGTGCCTCGGGCCTGCCCAGCGGCGGGCGCAGGCGCCACATTTGCGCGGCAAGGGCTGCCGCGCGCCAGCACCACGCCGCATCTTGTTTGATCTGGCGGGGGCCTGCCCCGCTGTCGCTGCCTTTTGATCGTAGCTGTGCATTCAGGGCGGCGTGCGGCTGTTATTGTAATAAAACCTGTGCTGATCTGATGGCTGGGGTGACTCGTTGGGGCAGGCAGCATTGGATTACTCAGAGGCCCGCGAGGTTGACAGGCGTGTTCAGGAATAATTCACTTGATGATCCAGCAAAGGGGGCGTATGATGCAACACCATCTTCAGGCATAGATTGCTGATGTCGTCAGCACATTGCGCTGTACAAGGGGCAAGTATACTCAGTACAACCGCCACATGCGCTACAGCTGCGCGCCATTGTGCTATCACTGCGCATTCACTGTGCGCAAGAGGCGGGCACCAGATTTCCTTGTGATTCGCTTTCAGTGCAGTCCATGGCTGTGGTGCTGTGACGTCCTGCAACAAGTCTGGCGGCCTGCCGCCTGGACCTATCGAGGGCATTTCGTTTCAAAGCAGAATCACAGTGAAGTCTGATTGAGACGTTGTTGGGCGGTTGTTCAGGTTTGCTGAGGTGTCGCCCAGGTGTTGATGATGTGTTGCCCCAGCCTCCACACGTCGGTCATTGAGTGCTAGGCAAAAGTCCAAGGCCGATCCAAAAGCGATGCGGTCAACATCATCGTGCTGTTTGCTAGATTGCTGTGGCTCGCTCTGGAACGTGCGGCCCTATGTGACCAACCTGGGGCCCCAAGGGGGTGTGGGATTCAAAGCATGCAGCCACGCAGGCAAGCTCCCTGCTCTGGCGCACGCTTGCTCCTTGCCGGGTTGGCCCAGGGTGGGCGACTCCAGCCCAGAATGGGCCGACCAGCCCGTTGCAAAACTGCAAAACGACGCGTTTTTGCACCCCGTGCCTGGTGCTGCAGGCCTTGCCAGCGCGTGGATGGCACCACGCCACCACACACTTATCTCCCTCACGGCTGCAGCCCAAGAGGCCCCGCCCCCAAGGACGCCAGCAGTGCGTTTGCCTCTGACTCATTTCGGATGACGTGGACACGTTCAAAGCCCTCCTGGGTGCTGGGCGGCTGCGGCAGGCGGCGGTGGTTGATGAGAGGGAGGGGGCGAGAGAGCGAGCGGGCTAGGGTAAAGTGTCGAGCTTGCTTTGGACGTGCGCCCGATGTCATTCGGCGGCGCGCCGTGCCGGCGCTGCATTACAGCCTCGCCGCGCGGCAGGAGTTCTGTGCTTACTCCATGCCTGAGGCATGCAGTTAACCGGCCGCACCTGCAGCTGCTCCGCGAAGCTGTCGACAGCGCGCGCGCCCCTGCCCTGGGGGATGGTCGGGTGATCGGTGCGTGCGGCCACGCGCCGCTTGCACGCGTCTGCCGCGACGTCAAAGAAAACGGCCACCACGCCTGGCGTCAAAAACGAGGGTGTTGGGGCGCACTGTGACCGGACACAGGGTACTGGATACACAGGAACATTGATCCAAGCCTGGGGAGCAACCAAGCCTGAGGCGCTGCCCCAAGTGGTGCTGTGCCAGCGCAGGGATTCAGGACGACCCCACGCAGCGGCGTCCCAACCCCATGAGCCCGTGTTGACGTGCCGACCAAGCCCTGCCCTGCATTTGCCCCGCCCACCCTTGTCGCGCTTCCCGATGAGGCCCAGGTCCAACCAGCGCCGGCGGTCCGCCGCTGTCGCGTTGCACCTGCGGGTGTCAACATGAGCAGACATATGCGTGAATTTCAGCACCGTTTCAGCTGGGACGGGCGGAAGGACCCAAACTAAACCTGTGAGCTGCACGTGAGGCTTTCGCACGCGTGCACGCAACTGTGATGTGCATTCATGCAAATCCGCCCTTCAAAGCAGGTTTCCGCATGCCACAGCAGCAGTCGCGCCACTGGGGCCGGCAGTCCCAGCTGGGCCCCACCTGTCAAGGATGACGTGGCGCCCGACATCTGGCCCGCGCAGCATCGCGATGCCAAACGCCGACTCAGCCGCAGCCCGGCCCCCGCAGTCGTCCTGGCACACGTGGCTCCAGCCGCCTGCGGCGGCCAGGGCCCGCGCAAAGGTGCTCTTGCCGCTGCCAGGCAGGCCTACCAGCATGATGAGCCGGGGAAGCCTGATCACACCACCACCGGGGCGCGCGCCACCGCTGCCGCCAACGCCGCGGATGCCCTTACGTGCCCCGCGCCTGCCGCGGCCATGGCCGCGGCTTGTAGCCTGAGTTGGAGCCGCGGCGGCCGGCCCTGACGCCACCAACGGGCCAGCCGCGTCGGGCTGCTGGTGCTGTTCCTGTGACGTGGTGCTGGCGCCGTCAGCGAGAGCCCCCTCACGCGTCTCAGGCTCAGCAAGAGCCCCAATCGAAGCTGATGCCGGCTGCCTCTGGACGACGCGCGCCGCTTTCCACGTGCGGCGCCATGTGCCGTCCGTCTGCACGTGCCCGGCCCGCACATACTTGGCAACACTGCGCGGGAACAGGGCGCCAGGGATGGCGGCGGCGGTTCGCACGACAAAGCCTTCTTTTGGCGTGGCGCCGGTGGAGTCTGCAGCGCTGGGCTCTGCCATTGAGGCGGAGAGGCTGGCTGCGAGCTCTTCCAGGCTGCGGAAAACACCTGCAAGGCGGGGCGTGTTTTTGAGGTTTCCGAGGTTGTAAAGCCGTTGCCATGGGGTTCTCAGCGTGTGGTGCGTGGGTTGTCACACCGTCGCAATTGCATGAGGGGCCCTGCTTGGAAGGATGCTTGCCGGGCAGCCCCAGCCTGCCCATCTGTCATGCAGCACGGCTGGTGCGCATATGAGATTAGCACGCTGCGGGGGGGCGTTTCAAAAACGACAGCGCACCTCTGGCGACGACAGGCGCCGTGTGCAGTCCCAAGCGCTGGGCCCAGCCCTCCACGTCGTCCCAGGACAGCCACACCTGTCGTGCATTGTGGGATTGTGCTTGAACCTCTCAGAACAAGGGCTCTGGAACCGTGAAACCCATCCCATTCAGGTGCACCCTGCAAGGGCTCACATGATCTAATGTTAGACTCTGATTTTGGAGAAGGGGCAAGCGCACGTGCCTGGATGTGCCATGTCCAAGCAAAAACAGTGGTGTAGGAGAGCTCAGGCCGCCGCGGCCCATCTGTAAATGGGCGGCCCACCTGAGTAGAGGTGTCCCAGATAGCAAACAAGAAGAAGCGGGCTGGCAGCTCCCGGTAAGCAATGGAGTGGACCGCGCTCATGTTCTCACCTGTGAGTGGGGTGAGTGGAGTTGTGGCTGAGTGAAGTGCAAGAAAAGCTCAGAATCGGGAGTGCACCAAACGGAGAATGCAGGTGATGGCGGCCGTATCAGACTATTACACTCCTGGCGCGCACCAACAAGAACAGGCCGCCGCGGTTGAGACAAGTGGAGCAATCATGAGGCCCTTGTGTACATCGCAACAGGGATGTATGCCCAGTTTATTCTTGCGGTATCCCTGGGCTCACCGAACAGCGCGTGGTGTGGCGGGACGTCCGCCAGCTGCGCAGCTGCAAGGACCTTGATGGGGCCAAAGGAGGGGTGGGTCGCGGGGTGCTTGTGGGTGCGCGCGTAGACGGCGCCCTGGTGGATGCAGCAGTTGCCGCCGTCCAGCTTCTCCGTCACCACCACCTGGCGGTTGTGTGAATTGGTTGTGTGTGTGTTTGGTGCCTCTGGACCCAACGACCGCTGCCCAAGGCACGCACCCAAGCACTCTGTTCGTGTGCGCGTTTGCCCTGACGCCAGCAAACATTTGGGTGGGAGTCAACAACACGACATGTTTTCGCAAACGCAGCCGGCCGCTTGTCTTGCCTACCCAGGCCTGCAACTAAACCCTGCGGTGCAGGCAGCCGCACCCCGCGCCTGGGCCCCTCACCTCAACATTCAACAGATCAGAGCAGCCGGCCGCGTCCAGCTGGGTGTCATCTGCCGCCACCTGGGGGCTGGACGGGAGGTGCGGCGTGGAAGGGTAGCCGCCAGCTGGCAGGCCCGGCCGCCTGTCGTCTGAGGCGGGCGTTGCGTTGCTGCCACTACATTCGGCGCGCTGCCTGCTGCTGTCTGCTGCTGATGCTGCTGCTGACCCCGCTGCTGTCACTGCCACTGCGGCTGCTGCTGCTGCGTTTGTGGGTGATTGAGGCCTATGCATCGCTTGCGGCTCCACTGCCGTGCCTGCGCCCTCTGCCCGCCCCTCCTCCTCGTCCACCCCGACGGCCGTCTGCTGGTGCCGCCACCATAGAGTCTTGCTGTAGGTCCCAACAAAGCGCTCCTGCTGATCCGTTTCGATGCTGCCTGGCCGCATCTCCCGCAGCAGCCGCACCGCCACCTTCGCCGCCATCGCTGGAGGCTGAGGCGCCCATCCACTGTCGTCGCGCACGCAGGGCTGCTGGCTGGGCGGGGGCAGCGGCGGCTCGAGGCCCCATCTGTTGAGGGTACGTGTGCAATGACAGTGGTGACAGGATGCCGGGGGCCGACCGGCACTCACGCGTGCCACCACTGTATAATACATTTCAAGTATGGGGCGCCACATATATTCAGAAGCACACCTTGTGCAGCGAGACCCGCACCTGCAAATGCGCCATCATTCGCGCGGTGTCTGCTGGCATGAAGCTGCCGGTCTCCGGCCGAGCTTGCTTGCACACGGGATACATTTGGCCGCACCCCCCCGGCAACCTGCACCGCACAACCCTGAACCCCGCGCCTCACTTGCAAAGGTAGCACGCCAGCGCCGTCCCCGCGCGCCCCTTGCCGCCACCGCAGTGCACCAGCACGCCGCGGCCCCGGCCACCGCCGCCGGCACCGTGGCCGCCATGCTGACTGTGCCAGTGTGTCTCGATTGCAGCCAGCAGAGAGTCCATCTGCCCCTCACTGGGCGGCTCGTAGTTTCTGACGGGGATGAACAGGTTGAACACGGCGCCGCAGCCGGCGCGCGCCGGCCCGCCTTGGAACCAGGCGGGGGGCAGTGGCTCCTCCTCTGTCAGGGTGATGACGAGGCCGATCCCCAGGGCAGCCAGGGCATGTATCTGCCGGCCGGAGTGTTTGGAGGGTATCGCAGTTGTTGTGGAACTGTTTTTGTGTCATGCCACTTGGCACGCAACAGATCTGCAGCAGATGATTAGTCAACTGCGAGGCTGGTCTGGCAGGCCCTCCATTTAAGTGCCAGCCGCAGCTGCATCATGCACTACTGCTTGCTCCAAACGAAGACTGCGAGCCCTGAACCCCTTACGTGCTCTGGTCTCTTGGGAGTGCTGCTAGCCATGAGCACGCCGGGCACCAGCCAGGACGTGTTGCGCATCAGCGTCACGTCAGCACAACCGCCGCCTGCCCCTGCACTGCTCGCGGTTGCATGGCCCGGCGCTGCTCCCCCTGCCAGCAGGGCGGCAGGCACCGCCACAGCAGGCACCACAGCACGGCAGCGGGGGTTGAGCACCACACAAGGCGGGGGGAAGCAGGAAGTTGAAGGCACAGCGCCGTTTGCTGCCGCCGCCGCGTCGCTCTCCAACCCCGTCTCACAGGCTGAAAACGCGGGCAGCTGAACGACGGGCTGGTATTTCGGCGTCCCGCACTTCTTAGCAGCCGCTGCCTGCCCCTTGGCCAGCTGACTCTGCGGCTCCAGAGCGGCCACCAGCACCCTGAAGTTGTGTGGTGCGAGGGACTTCAAAGGTGAAGTGTGCAGCGAGGACAGGCCAGGTCATGTTGAGCACCCTATACATGATCGCATGAAAGTGAGCCAGGTGTGCCAACAGCATGATGCACTGCAGGCTGCCAAACCGTACATGCCCCGCCTTGCTCGGCCCCATCCTCTCCCCCCACC